GAAATATAAGCAAAACTCCTTAAGTGGGCGGGGCTACCCGACTCTCCCCTACATGAATTATTGCATTATAGTTTTCATCCTCACTAAACTCTTTTATGTATTCCTTTTCATCATCCTTTGTAAGATAATTTAATATTATTTCTGTAATAGAATTCTGTATTGATTCCAATCTTTGAAATTTATCGGATAACTGAGAACTAAATTCTTGTAAAATATGCGTATTAACTTCTTGTTTATTACTTTCTGTAGAAATAACCTTCGTAAAATTCGTAAACGCAGCTCTTAAAGTTTTCCGCTGTAGTTTTAATGCTTCCATTTTATCAATTTTTAATAAACGTACAAGTTTTTAGTAAACGTAACAATAGAAACCAAATTCGTAATAATAATATTAGGAATGGTACCTTTCACGGATGCCAAATGTTCAAACTAAGAAGCTGATATACGTTTTCCAATGGTTTATTAAAACATATAATACGGCACATAAATGCTATTTACAGAAGAATTAATATTTCCAGAGAGTAACAAAGTTTTACGTAATTCTTTAAAGCAACGTAAATTTAGAACACAACAATTTTCTTATTGCCAGATTACCAAACATTATCTATCTCTTTTTCATGGAAATAGAAAATAAATATCGTTTGAGTCACAACAACTCTCGTCTTACTCGAATTTTAGAAGAAAAAAATTTATTAGCAGCTTTAAGTTTTATATTTCAAATCAGTTTTGTTTGCTTCATTCATGTCAAGTAAGTTTTGAGAATGGGCCTTTTTTTTAAGCACTTAAAACATATCGGCATACATTTCCATCTTCATATCTTTTGAAGCGAAATGAAGTTCCTTAAATCAAGTGTATTTTTTCGCCTCAGTTTTCTAATATTCTTCTTCTAATGATGGTACTGATTCTTTTATAATCATTTTTAGTTTTCTAAGTGTGACGGTACTTTTCATATCTTTTTTATTTTAGCCTTGCTACAAATTATTCCGGGAAATTGGCATTTTATACATAATTTTCGTTCATTTTTATTATTATAATTTGTCATCCTTCCTAGTTTACTTAACATTTTTAAGTTTAGAAGAGCACGTTTTACATGAAAGAACACGAAAGATTAAACAGAAAGAAAAAGGTAGGTTAACTATAAACACTATTATTGATCTCTATCAGAGTGCCAAATTTCAATGCAATTATATAAAAGGAATGGGGAATTTCTCTGGAGACAAAGAATTATTTTGTATGCGTATAGATTTCTTATGGCATATTATCAATGAACAAGCCTAGCGAAATATTATCAACAAATAACTCACACTAATAATGAAGATCGACTCCCATAAAGAAAATGTGCTGGTCCGTGATACTGGCCACTTGGTTCATCCATTAGATTTTGACTGTCTTGCAGAGATTTCCTAATCCGTTCCTTATCGAATTTAACATCAAGTCCGCCATCTTCTCGTCGGACAAAAGGAATTTTCATATCATACAAATCAGACGTCTTAGTGAAGGGCCACTGAATAGGAAATAAAGAAATACCGAGCTATAAGCTTGTGATTTACTTAGATATTATATCTATGGTGTCAACATTTGAGGTTTTTTAAAACTAGTTCGGCGATATATTTTCAGATCTCAAAAAGTGCAAGACAAAAAAGAAATGAAGGAAGGCGTAACAGATGTTGAGCAAATAAATTCTTATATTCTAATGAGAAGAGGCATTTGTAAGGTTAGAACATAATTTTCTATATTCTAATAAGTTCTAATGAGAGAAAACATATTAGATCTAATAATTTTACTGTACATCAATATTTTAAGCTTTTCAAAACTAGTCCTATATATCAAATTTGCAGATCTTAAAAAAGCGAGAGGAAAAAAAATAAGAAGAGAAATATTTCATTCTAGACTAGATGCTTGGAGCAATTTCACACACAAAAAAATTAACGAATTAACTTCAACATTAAAAAAAATTTTAAAACCAGTGCGATGTGTTTCCAGAACTTAAAGAAGCGAGAAAAAAATGTTTCAAAGGAGAAAAAATAGTTTTCATCTAGGATTTTGAAATTGGGATAATTTTTCTCAGAGTACACTAAAGTCTACAACTATATTAAGAATTATAATTTTAAAAAAAGCATTTCTCTTTCTTGTAAAAATTAAAAAATACGTATTTTGGATTAGGCTAATTTTCATAGAAGGTTTAAACCATTACTAAAAAGTAAATTGAAATCATTGATTATGTTGTATTGATTCACAATTTAAAATATATCTTACAAATGAATTTTTTATCGATGCAAATACACTCTAGAAACGTAATTCAATACTGAAACTTCACACATTTAGTGTAATTGAAATCACCGCTAATTTAAAAACTACCGTCTGAAATGATGTCTACAAATTCCTGAAAGATTAACGCAGATAAAAATTATTTTCTAAAATTACAGTGAAAAGGTTTCTTGAGAATTCATGTAAAAATATCCTTTGTTTCAAATGGTGCTGAGTATACTGTCATGTAATAACAAATAATGGTCCTCTCTATTATTTTATTTTATAACCGTTGTTGAACAGTCGACGAAATTTTTGGGTTTGCGACTACTAATGTGCAACTACGTAGCCTTGTAATTTTAAACCCAATCAAGAAGACAAGGGAACTCCGGGATCGAGCATTGGAAGAAATTTGCTTTCGTGGAGAACTTTTGATGACTAATCTGCATTTACGTTACAATCTGCATTTACGTTTTGACTAATCTGCATTTACGTTACATGGAGAGGAAGACTACGAAAACCTACCACGATTAGCCTGACGGCAAAGGGACTCTAAACCATGCTTCGTCTACCATTGAGGATATTTCACGCCAAAACTGTAGTAGGTGCAAGCCGGATTCAGATTCGTATCGACCAGACATCATTGAGATTCGAACCCGGTTCACCTCATTGGAAGGCGAAAGCTCTATCCCTGAGCCATCACGGCTTCCCGAGATCACCACAATGGCCCTGAACATAAGAAAAATGGACTTTAGGAATACCATAGAGGACGTTCACGATGCACGACTGAATCCAAGCTATTCCACAGAAACAGTATTATTGGTAGGGTATTAAGATAAAAGATTCAGTTTTTGATAAATTATGATTCAATTGTTACTTCAAACTAGACGAAACAAATTTGTGCATGTAAACAAAAAAATCACCCCGATTGCTGATTGATATTTCAGTGACACCATATGCAAGTTATATAGTTATCCTAAGTGATGGGTAAGGTTTAATAATTTTAATTGAAATTACGTAAATTTAAAAATAAGCATTTACATCGTTTAGCCGATGTTAAGAGAAATTATGGGGGCGTGAGCAAAAAATCTACATCTTAAGCTCTGATATTTCATAAATTTGCGTCATCAAAATTACAAGTGGGTGCATTGCAATACGATAGATGAAAATGCGTACTCTTTTTCTTCGTAACGAAATACTAAGAGTGACAGAAACAACCCAAAAAATACTTTAAGAAGTTATTAGTGTGACTTACGTTTTGTTCTGGAATGTGAGTGAATATAGTATCAAGAAGAAATTTGATAGCCTCTGTATCATTCAAATGACCGGGGATGCTTTGAATCAATAATATACGCATGTTTATCGAATCTAGAATGGACTCACAACTTTTTTGGGAAATTGTCTTCGTGAACATATCTTCTACAATAATCATTTCAATCCGTTCCGGCTAAAAAGAGAAAACAAATTATCGTAATAGTTCTCAAATGGAATTAATGTTATAAGCGCAAAATAACTTAAATGATTAATGCATAAAATAGAAGAAAAAAAATCGATCAGTATAAAAAAGAAATACATTTGGTTGTATTTATTTTATAAAAAAATGATCCATAATTACTGCATTCATTGTATATATATATGGGTGATTCTCATGAAATATGACAATTCGCTGTACCTTGCTCCAAGATCTACTACTATAATACTAAAGGAACTTTTTTTAAAAAAAAAATTAATAAATAGCATTGCTGTTAGCATTTTAAAATGACTTTGCACTAGCATTGACTGTTTTGTATACTTAAAAAATTTAATTGAATATCAAAGTGTCATTTTCCTGGCATGTCCCAAACAATGTTTCCAATAATAACTAGCTTCAAAACTTCCCATAATTTTTTCAATATCTAATTTTTTTTATCTAACCGGTGTAAACATTTCTAGAATATGCGCAGAAGATATTATTTACAAAAACTTCGTTTAAAATAATTTTTTCCGTCAATAATTTGTTTGTCCCAAGAAAATCTTTAATTTTCCTGGCTACTTTTATTTAATGATTTATAAACAAAATAGATAGAGCCAGGAATCAATATCTTATGTTAATAGAATGATTAGATACATTCCTATATGTACATGTCTTGTTGCATGAATAAAGAACCAATTTTCTGGTTCAAAATCTATTTCAAAAACTTTTTCAAGGTGAGTAGGTTTTTGTGTTGTCATTTTCCTGGCTTCTTGAAATCATTAATAACATAAACTACATAGATTTATCTGAGTTATTTTAAGAAATACTGTTGTTTTCTGCAGAATATAAACGTCTTCGGCCAAAATATTAAATTAAAGTAAAGTTATATGCTATAA